ACTCCCCCAGCTGGAAATTTGCGCCACCCACGATCTCCTTATCACCAACAGTCTACCGCCTGTTCAACAGAATACAAGACGACTTGGATGCACCCACGCTCCAAACACTGACATCCACTCGATTGTGTCATTGTTAGGCAAAGTGACCGACAGGATGTGAGAGTCACGAAGACCATTATTATTATTATTATTATTATTATTCTTATTATTATTATTATTGTTGTTGTTGTTGTTGTTGTAATTATCATCATCACCTCATGTTGCAGGGCTTTGGGGGAGAGTTCTGCGGCGTGGCCACGTCCTCGTGCGACCCTGACCCGTGCCTGAACGGGGGCGTGTGCGGAGAGACTGCCACGGGCTTCGAGTGTATGTGTGGCCCGGGCACGGACGGTGTGCTGTGTGAGATTGACCTCTACGACGACTGCCAGGTGGAGGTGTGCCTCAACGATGGCGTCTGCATCGATAAAATTGGTAAGGGGGGTCGTCGATGTGGTTGTCGTGTTGTGATTGTGGTCTTTATTGTTGTCATCGGTATCATCATCATTATCATCATATACAGCAGATAGTAAAATGCTTAAAACTTGGTAGTATTTCCAAAATATTAATGACAAGTTCAACGTTTCGCCCTCAACGGGCTTCACCGGAAATATTCTAATATAAATGACTACACTAGCTGTTTAAACCAAAGTACGTACATTCATGTCACAACGCTAAAATCATCATCGTCATCGTCATCATCATCACCAACGTAACTATCATTATCGTCATCAGCATCGATATCATCAACATTGTTATCGCAATCATCATTAACAACATCATCATTATCAACTTCATCATTAACATCTTCATCAATGTCTTCATCAACATCATCTATATCAATATCATTATCGTCAATTTCATCATCATCACATACTCAGTTGTTTTTAAATTGAGAGTCCCGGAAACTCGCCTCTAATCTTCGGCACTTATATGACCTTATTGTGTTGCAAGTGCCGAAAAACTTTTACTGAAAAATTATAAATATAAAATAAAAAAACAAAAATCACCCCTTGGCAGTCATATGACCTTAATGTAGTTGCGAGCGCCGTAAAACCTTACTAAAACTAAAACTCTCTCACCCCTCTCCCCCCACAGGCTACTACGAGTGCAATTGTCCTCGGAACTGGAACGGCGTGCGGTGTGAGCTGTTTGACAAAGAGTTCCTGGGCGGCATCGGTCGACCCGTGTCCCCGTCCAAGGAGACGGTCCCAGCCATCTGCAAACAGTACAACTGCCCTGAGAAAGCCGACAACGGACAGTGTGATGTACGCCCTCTCTTCTATTTGTCCCATTGAAATATTACTATGATTATTATTATTATAACTTTTATTATTATTAACTGTTATTATTATTATTTCTACTATTATTATTATTACTATTATTATTACCATTTTTATTATTATTGTTATTATTATTATTATTTTTATGATTATTAGTATTATGATTATTAGTATAATTAGTAGTATTGGTATTATTGGTGTTATTATAATGATTATTATTAATGTTATTATCATTATTAATATTATTATTCTTTTAAAGATCTTACTATTGTTATTATCATTATTGCTATTAATATTATCATCGTGAGGGAGGGTGGAGGGAGAAATATCATTAACATATTCACGGCCATTATTATTATTATTGTTGTTATTATTATTTTTATTTCTATTTCTATTATTATAATACTTTTTTTTGTGTTTATGTTCGTTTAAAAGCAAAATTTTTCTGGAGAAAGAAAAAAAAAAGTTCATTGTTTGAACAATTGTACATGTATTGTCTGTATCTCTCCTCCTCCTCTCCTTTGCTTGTTACTCTCCAGTAGCACCTCCTCTAATCTCCTGTGGGTGGTTGGCAGGTGCTCTGGTGTGGTATGCTCCTTTTTCCCCCATCAAACATCTATCGTCTTTATCTCCCCTCCTTCTTTTTTTGTGTTTGTTACTCTCTTGTAACACCTCTAATCTTCGGCACTTATATGCCAGGATCTGGACAATAAAGATGTATCTTACCTATTTGTGCTGCTGCAAGTGCCGTAAAACTCTTAACCAAAGCCTCCAACCCATTCTCTTCCTCCAGGAGGAGTGTAACCTGATGGAGTGTAACCATGACAACACGGAGTGCTCTTACGGCACCATGCCCTGGCAGAACTGTTCCCAGATGGTCAACGGACTCTACTGCTGGCAGGTAAGAGCTGGCGGTCACTCAGTCTGTGTGTGTGTGTGTGTGTGTGTATGTGTGTGTGTGTGTGTGTGTGTGTGTGGTGTAGTTAAGTAATGGTTCCCGACCTCAGTGCTTTCTTGTCGTATCTCCATTTTTAGTAACAGTGAAAACAGTTCATAACAAAGAGTGAGCTTAAGAAGAAGTTACATTTTCGCTGTTAAAAAAATGAAGATACGACCAGAAAGCACTGAGGTTGTGGGTTGTTCTTGCAGGGGAACATGTTGTGGGTGGTTGGCGGGTGCTCTAGTGTGGCTTGCTGCTTCTTTTCTATCAACTGTCCACATCCTCCTTATCTCAACTCTTTCTTTTCTGTGTTTGTTGCTCTATAGTAAATGGGTGGCTGGCGGGTGCTCTGGTGTGGTTTGCTCCTTCTTTACTTTCAAACATCTATCACCGTTGTCTCTCCTTTATTTTTTCTTTCCGTGTAACTCTCTAGTAACACCTCCAATTTTCGGCGCCTACGACACTTTTTTGTGTTGCTAGTGCTGTACAACTCGTAGTTCTCTTATCTGACCTGCTGCTCTCTGTTCCACATGTACAGGGATACCGTGTGTAACTCAGAGTGCAACAGCTGGGCTTGTGGAAGGCAGGCTATGTGGCAGCCTGCCCCCTAATTTACCTAAATTGTGTCAATGGGGGGTGTAAAAACACTTCCATTAAAAAAAGAAAAAAAAGAAAAACAAGCCTTTCCTTTGGTCCTGATGTTGTTGTTATATCCAAGAATGGAGATATCGCCCCAAAATCGAATCTGGGGTCAGATTTATTTATTTTCAGTTGACGCCATTTTCTTCAAGTCTACCTGGTCTTTGATTATTCCATTCTTATAAATTGCACAAAACCCCACCTTTAAAGCTGATGTAGTGGGTGGTTGGCGGGTGCTCTGGTGTAGTTTGCTCCTTCTTTCCTATCAAATATCTGTCGTCCTTATGTCTCCTCCTTCTTTTTTGTGTATGTTACTCTCATAACTCATCTATTCTTTGGCACTTATATGACCTCATTGTGTTGCAAGTGCCGTAAAACTCTTACTAAAACTGAAAAACTAAAAATCCTATTGTGTGTGTGTCCCAGGTGTTCCGGGACGGCAAGTGTAACTCTGAGTGCAACAGCCCGGCCTGTCTCTACGACGGCTTCGACTGTCAGCAGCCGCTGGGCAAATGTAACCCCAACTACGACACCTACTGCCTCATGCACTACAACAACGGCCACTGTGACAAGGGCTGCAACACCGCGGAGTGCGACTGGGACGGGCTGGACTGCGACGAAGGTTGGTGCTGTTGTTGTTGTTGTTGTTGTTGTTGCTGTTGTTGTTGTTGTTGTTGTTGTTGCTGATGGTGTTTTATAGATGTATGTTATAGTGTGGTGTTGATAGTGTTGTTGTTGTTGTTGTTGCTGTTGTTGCTGTTGCTGCTGTTGTTGTTGTTGTTGTTGTTGTTGTTGCGGACTGTGTTTTATAGATGTGTGTTAAAGTTTGGTGTTGATAGTAATGTTGTTGTTGTTGTTGTTGTTGTTGTTGTTGTTGTTGTTGTTGTTGTTGTTGTTTCGGATGGTGTTTTAGTTGTTAAAGTGTGGTGTTGATAGTAATGTTGTTGTTGTTGTTGTTGTTGTTTCGGACGGTGTTTAAGTTGTTAAAGTGTGGTATTGATAGTAATGTTGTTGTTGTTGTTGTTATGGACTGTGTTTCATAGTCAAGAGTTGTAAAACTTAGTTCTATCTGACATTTTTGGCCGTTTTTGAGTTACTAACACCTTGAGGCCTGAAACCAAATCTTCCGTCTGCTCATCAAAATTGTAAGCTTTTTCACAGTCGTTATCAAAATGTTCAAAGAATTGCTTTAAAAAAAAGCTTGACATGTTTTGAACATTTTTTACGTCAAATTTCTCAAAACTATGTACCGATAGATAATTCTAAGGTAGTGTTTTTACCGGACTAAACAACTTGTGAACCCCCCGGGGCAGTGCCACTGACTGTAGTGTCTTTAGGCCATTCCCAAAGGGGGGGACATTTCTCGTTCAAGCACAGTAGAAAATGGGCTGATTCACGTCACGCTCATAACTGTGCCTGATCTACAACAGGGAACTGCTGCTTTTTCTTTCCTAATCCTTACTATTGTCATTTTCCTCTACTTCTTTTGTATGTTTTTCACTCTCTTGTGACCTGCTATTTCCGGGGTGCCTTGATAGTTGAAGCAGACCTTGTGCTGTTGAAGCTAGAGAGGTGGACAGAGTGGGTCTGATTCCCTTTTCTGTTGACATCCACCCCTTGGCGCTCATATGACCTTATGCAGTTGCGAGTGCCGTAAAACCCTCTACTATAATAAAAAATAAAATAATAAACAATTTGTGTTGCGTTTTCCCCCCCCCTCTGTAGGCAACGAGGCGCTGGTGAGCGGGACGCTGTTCATCATCGTGTTGATCGAGCCCGAGGAGTTCCACAAGGTCAAACAAGAGTTTGTCCGACAGCTAGGTCACCTCCTGCGTGTGGGCGTGCGGATCAAGCTGGACGTGCGCGACAACGAGGAGATGATCTACCCGTGGAGCGGGGAGGTGGCGGACACCGACGAGTCCATCGTGTCGAGGACACGCCGCTGGGTCGAGGGCGTGTTGGATGGCGGTCACGAGGCGGCGCTGTCGCGGCACAGGAGGGCTGTTCGCAATGGGTGAGTGCGTGTGTGTGTGTTCTGTGAGTGTGTGTGTGAGTGAGTGTGTGTGTGAGAGTGTGTGTGTGTGTGTGTGTGCGTGCGTGCGTGTGTCCTTGTGTTGAGGAAGGAAGCGTGGTCATCGTCAGACATTGATGGACCCCAACTATTAATATTATGATTGTTGTCATTATTACTATTATTACAGTTATTGTTATTATTGATGTTGGTATTGTTATTGATATTATCAATATTACTGTTATTATTATTGA